TATACTCGTATATATCTTGGTACCCATATGTTTGGAATGATGTATGAACTTTATACAACAGCAGTACATACTGATGAGCACATGTGTGCACGCATGCACACACACACTTACATACACACATACACACACTTACATACACACATACACACACACTCACACACACACATAAACACATATATACACACTCATATACGCATTGATGTGTTTGGAATAATATACATACTTAATACAAATGCAGTACACACTCGCTGATTTGTGTGCAAACACACACACACACACACACACACACGCACTCACTCACGCAAGCACAAACGCACACATACACACTCACAAACACACACACACACACACACACACACACACGCACACACACACACATACATATAACATATTTATAAGAAAGTCGATGTATAGCTAAACAAGTAATAGCCAGCCGATTACTGGGTATGCCATCAAATGCAACGAGTGGGGATGGTTATGAACAAGGCACTAATGTCATATAAAGGGAAAATACTACCAAGGCAAAAATTAAACACATATAAAACATTATAAAACAAATCATTATATTATGGTCGCTTCTAAGCACAAGGGGGCTAACCCAGATTTCGGGGGTTTCCAGAAATCTTGACCTATACCAAAAGTGGGCACTCACCTACCGATAGGAGAAATTTGGTTTCATTGGTCTGTATATTTGTTTGGTTATAGAGAAAACTCTCCTTGTCTTTTTAAGAAACTGAACAAGGGACAAAAACTTTACTTCGATTTTCTCAAAACAGGATTTTCCGGGATAGCCCCCTTGTGCTTAAAAGCGACCATATAATATATGGGAAGGCTGGAATTTCATCACTGTATGATACTGCTGACAGTAGCTATTTACGTTTTCAGAATACAGAATAAGAACAAACAGTTGGAATTTGAGCAGCAGTATACTATTGCTGTGAACCTTGTCACTATTGTGTACTCTGTTATTGTGTACTCTGTCTTATCCATCAACAGGTAAATCATTTATGGAGTTTATAAAAAGTTGGGTTTTTTTGTTTTGTTTTCTTAATTAAAAAAAACACCAATAGAATACCTAACAAATATTTTTTGGCTATGTACAAAATTCAGCATAAACAACTAAAACGCGTATGCGAGATATGAGTATTAACTTACAAAATACAGTACACAATCTTATACGAAGATAAATTGATGATCAGTGTGACATAACTGCTCACATAACTGCCTGGCAGAATCACTGCCGCAGTCACATTTACACAACTCCAGAAGAATCACGGTTAAAGCATGTTACGCATCTCATTCACTAAGATAATAAAACAACTTTAATAAATAAGGGTGTACGTAAATTGATATTTGCAGACAAGACATGATATTACATAGTATATATAATATACTCATATTAGAACAAAAGTTCAGTATGAGATTTTAGAATTTAGAGTTCAGCTATACCCTGCATCATTATTAATACACTTCTTATATATTGTAAGCTCACATGAGCCCGAAAAAATATTTGAACCCCAGACACTTTGAAAGAGCATTTAAAACAGCAGGCATCAAACATTGACTTTCATGAAAATCCATAATACATTCATCCATTGAGAAGATATCAAATGAGTATTTCCAAAACATTTTAGACTTCCACAAACCAGCACTAAAGTAAGGCACTCACTTGAAGGCTCCACTAATAAAACTGGCGAGAACTTACAGAAAAGCTATTAACAGTTAACGCATTATCTCATTGAAACCACACCTACAATTTCTTGGCATTAGCTTTGAGAAATGTGACTTCATTGGTCATTGGATGAATTTAATGCCCTTTGCAAAACTGTAAAATTATCTAAGAGGTGAGACCTCCCAATATAACGTCCATCTCCATTAAAACCGAGCCAAATAGATGGAAAGCTTAAAAAAAAATCTTTCCCAAACAATTCAAGTTCAGAAAGCCCCGTTGGTGACTCAAACCAGAACCATTCATTCTGTTGTCCAGCATGATACCAACTGAGCTAACCGTGCACAATGTGGCTTCCATTCAAAATGATATACAGCAACCTAAATAAAGCAAAATACGCCAGATAAGCTACACAAAAAACTCTGTTCCAACACAACAAAACTACAACCACAGCGCTGGTGCTGTCAAAGAAATTGAACAACCTTTGCTTCCACTGAGTATGAATCAATAAACAGTAAAGCACATATGTGTCACCACTTGGTGAGATAAGGCACTTGTCAATTTTTGGGTGTATGGGGTTATTGGTAACATCCTAAGCCTGTTCATCTGTCTCCCTTTTGGTGAAAAAGATAACTATCTATGCTGATGAGAAGAAGAAATATTTGAGATTGAAGGAGGTCAGGGTCACCTGGTTTCGGAGGAAAAATTAGCGAGAAAATGGCCGCCAAAGTTTGGTGACTTCCAAAGCTGGAGAGTCTATGGAAACAGTAAATTTACACTTCTTAGTGCCTTTAATCAATGTTTTTCGATAAAATCCACAAAAAAATTTGTTTTTGAGCGGACATTAAAAGTGCTGAGCCAAAAAACAAAAAAAAAGGATAAAAATTGTCAAGCGGGAAGAAAAATTAATTTATTTTGACATGCAACTGATTTCACCACGATACCTCGCACATGGTCTGCTTTTGAGCTGAGACAATCGCAACGTAAATTTTGTCATCTGATTTGATTATTGTAAATCACAGACAGTAAACTAACTTGAGCATAAATAAGTGCACATCACCGATGTCACTAGCAATCCACCCAAGTACACTTGGGTACATTTTAAAACAGAGATAAAAAAAAGAACTAGCTTTAGTTGTGTTGTTGCTATCAGGAATCAGGAAAAGCAAGAAAACTGTACGCTTTGATCATAACATTAAAATGCATCTTGGTGAAGTTGAAAGGTATATCTTTGGTAGAGCTTTGGAAGAGCAGAAAATTTTTTTTTTCCTAATTTGGACTAGAGAGAATTGTTTGTGACAGCAATGGCATTCAGGGCTTTTTTTTTTTTTTTTTTTGGGGGGGGGGGGGGGGGGTGTACAAATGTGTAAAAGCTTGTGAGAACCCAGGGGTGTAAAAGAAAATACCAAACCAGAGATTTTAAACTTCATATAAATATGATTCTACATGACATTACAAAACTATTTCAAGGCCAGCAAGGAAATCTTTTAATTTAAAAAATAGTAGGGTGTTCCTCTCAGAGCAAATGTCTTGAGTTTACAAAACCTCTATATACAGTCAAACCTGCCATGACGGCCACCTGTAAAATACGGCCACATGTACAAACCACCACTTTCTGTTTCCTCCATTGCTTTTTTTCTATACAATTTAACTGTGTAAAACGACCAACTGTCCAACGCGGCCACAGCCACCTTTTTTTATCAACCCATGGTCAAATTTACCTCCCTAAGGCATCCAGGCGTGGTCACTCATCGCCCCACTCTTTGTCATAAATTTTGAATCGACCCCTCACACTGTGGACGGGCCGTCATAATTCATTCAACTGTCGTTATTGTTGGTCACTCATGTGAATGTTTACCCAAGTTGTCCAATGGGTAGGCTTAATAATAAATTTTCAACTGCTGATGAATGAAGCATGTGATCCGTCATAACCTGGAAACTCTGCCCACAACTCATGCACAAATCGTATGTGAGATGACTGGTCACTGTTTTGTTTACCTAATCTGCGACAAAGTAACAATGGGCGTTGACATGAACTTGAGACAGAAGCATCGCTCCTTCTCTGAGTGGTGGCCACCCGTGTATTTGTTTTACCATGGCACTCGGTCTTCATCGTCTTACGTACATAATATGTCGTTTATTTTACCCTTGCACAAAATCAGCAACAAAAAGAAAATTTACCAAAAAACAAACTCGCAACATGAAGTATCCTTTTTACACCACTTGAGCTCCCCCCCCCCCCCCCCCCTTTAAAAAAAAAAAAAAAAAAAGCTTTTGAATACAGTCTAAAGTCTGAGATCAGCCCCGGTTTGAACCTCAGAAGAGAATGACTTGCTTTCTTCATTTTGACCAGGCCTGCCTAAGACAGCCACCAATGTTATACGGCCACTTTTCTCCTTGACAATGGGTGGCCGTTTTACACAGGTTTGACTGTAGTCACTTATTCAGAGGAACTTACTTTTTATATATGACCTTTGGATTATATTGCCTATCAGAATAAACCGACAACATAAATACTAAGTAGGATAAAAACCAAAATAGCAGGGAATGTTATGTTAAAAAATACAATGACACATGTATGATGTAATCAGAATTTCAATATTGCTATTTTTGACATAATCAGAGTTCACAATCACATCAAATTTAACACTTCAGAGACATATTCTCCATGAGAAAACTATTCAGTCAAGTCACACTGAGATTTTTATCCCTCAAGAGATGTTCGTTTGACTTAAAAAATTAAAAGTAAAGAGTGACAGTATTGCTCAGTTTCTATCAGTAAAATTAGTAAATTCACAAATTTCAGTTTCTTTCCTTGACTCATGCCTAAAACATCACAGGAGTCTTGGCTAAAGATTGTACGGTACAAAATAGAGTACGGTCGTTCATATATATCAAAATGTTAGTATGGTGTAAATGCACTAACTGCAGGGTTTATTTAGAAAAAAGATCATTATAATATTAAAACAACTGCTCAGTTCAGGCTGAGGAGAAACTAATTCTTACGGAATTAGAACCCAACCATGTGTTTACATGACAATATAGTTAAATTTATTGGTGAAACTTTCAAGACCACATTTTATACAAACGTAGTTGGAATTATTGTACAGGTTATCTTTGTTTCGAACTGGCATGGTATTTTTTTGTCTTTTACTTTTAAAGCAAGAAACAAGAGATTCTTGAAGTAGTTGATTTTTGGCTTTAAAAAAATTAATAAATTATATATATATATATATATATATATATATATATATATATATATATATATATATATATATATATATATATATATATATATATATATATATATATATAGCATTATATAGCGGATTAAAGACAGATTAAAGTAATATCATTCCATGAGTTAGTTCTATTTTAGTTTCATTTGGTAGATGTGCTGCAGTGTGGTCCTAACAACAATACAGTTACAACAATATCATCAAACTGTACACATAGCGCCAAAAAGCATTACATCATAACAGACACATAACATAAAATATTAAAATGTAAGATAATTCTGTAACAGACTTTGAATAAACAGAGGAAGGGGGAGGGCTTGATGTGATTTAAACACTTTGCGGTCACTTGCCACAATAATGTGACAGTGAAAATTATCCGTTCCGGTCACTTGGCGAAGTTCTGCCACAGGTCCAAAAAGTCTGTTGCAATCATTCTCCAAGCTGGGTGACCAGACGGGGGTATTTTGTACTGCTGGCTGTGTGACTGCAAAGTGTGTTAAACTACAACAACTGCATCAGTAACATTGTCTCCGGAAGAAAGAGAAATCTCTTGTTCACCAGGCTGTGAAGGAGACAGCGGTATGTCCGTCTCTGCCACAGCCGTCATACTGTTGACCTCAGCGACCACATCCACTTGGACCCTGCTCTCCGGCCGCGTGATTTTGTTTGTGGTGAACTCGATGTTGTGTTTGTGCAGAAGACCCTGAAGGACCTCGATCTCTGCCTCTTGTGCCATGCAGTATTCGCGGAACTTGGCCAGCTCCTGCTCACACTCTTCCCGCAGATGTTTCTCTCTCTCGATTTTCTTCTCCGCCTGCTTCTGCACAGACAATACTATACCTGAAGGGAGAAATAAAACATTTTAAAATTTTGCTTCCGACTGATCATTTTCATAACAATAATCATTTAGATTCCAAATCTGAGAGGATAAGAATTTACAGAGGACATAGCATAAAATTTTTTAGAATTTTCTTTTTTCTTTTTCCAGAGAAATTTAGGTGTTTTTATACCCCCCATACCCCAATCGACACATTTTAGATCATCTAGGAAGCCGTCTTCTAACCCTGTCTGAAAGGGTCAACATGGACTGAGAGGGATACAACATCCAAGCAGAAAGATAGAAATACTACTTGATAAAAATTTCTCCTCAATCAAGAATCAAATTCAAGTCTCCTGCATACAACAGCAAAGCGCCTAACCACTAAACCACAGATATAACAGTTGGACATAAAGAGTCTAAATTTCAATAAACAAAATTTTCCACTTAACATTATTCAATACTCCACTTTAGGACGATATTCAAAACATGTGAACTTACTGAAATCACCAACATTATAGTCTCACCATTCACAAGATTATTATTATTACTATTATTATCCCTGGGTTTCGGATATGCTTGGTTTTCTCAAAGTGTTAGAAGCACTAGATTATTTCTCAGTGAAGTAAAAAGTAGGCTTGTTGATCATTCTGTGCAGAACATAGAGGAAGAAGTCTGTCCCAGGTATAATTTATTCTCTGTTACAATTCCTTTTCAAGAAACAGCTGAGTATATCACCAACCACTCATGTTATTGGAACAGAAGAGTCATAGCCTTGTTTAAAAACTCATCTCTCTCTTGCCCTTTTTAACTCCCAGGGGAGCATAGGCCATCAGCAACATTTCTCCAGTGAAGACTGTCCTGTGCATCCTTTTCTGTTTCCATGATGTCCCCGCCTTTTCCATGTCCGCGTGTACCGCTCGCCTCCATGTCATCTTTGGTCTTTCTTTCTTACATTTTCCTTCTGGATTCCATGTCAAAGCCTGTCTAATGATGCTTGTCGGGGGTCCCCTCAGGGTGTGTCCAATCCATTTCCATTTCTTCACCTGTATGTCTTCCTTTACTGGCCTTTGGCTTGTTCTTTCCCACAGTTGAACATCTGTGACTTGATCGTACCACTTGATCCCCACTATCCTTCTTAGGCATCCATTTATGAAGCTCTGCAGTTTCCTAGCTGCTGAGGCTGTGAGCCTCCATGTCTCTGAACCATACAGTAGAACAGTCTTCACGTTTGTTTGAAGATCCTAAGCCCAGTGTTCAATCCCAGTTCCTTAGACATCCATATATTCCTGAGGATAATGAATGCTGCTCTTGCCTTTTGGATTCTGACCTTGATGTCTTCGTCTGTTCTCCCTGCCTTGTTGATGACACTTCCCAGGTAGGTGAAGGATTCAACATCTGCCAATGGTGCCCCTTTCAGCGTGATAGGAACGTCCGCTGCATTCATTCAAAGAACTTTAGTTTTATCCGCAAAAACTCATAGCCTTCCATTAAATAGCAATCTGTATTGGTGGAAATTAATAGATTCACCCTTATGTGAGAGGTGTAACTCTCATGAAATTGAAGATGAATTTCACTTTATTTTCTATTGTCCATATTTTGTTAATTCCTCCCAGCTTGACTCGGCCCAGTGACAGAAACATGCAACGTTTGATCCATGATAAGAGATATGTGCACAACCTGTACTCTTTCATTAAGGAAACTTTATTTTACAAATGAGTACTTTTTATGATGTGATGTGGGCCAATATCAATACACACTGAATAAACATACTAACTTACTTACTTACTTACCATTCACAATTCTTGTAACTCTCCATAACCGAAGAATGATGAGAAGCCCAACACCTGTGGCAGCATCTTCGTTGTCACGAAACACAATGTCCAGAATAAACGAAACAATGACAACAACAGCATCAAACAGCTCCAACTTGTGTTTGAAGAAATCAAGCCGAAGGACAAATATACGCAGTCCAATTTCAATGAGGAAGAGAGACAGGATACCAAGGCTTCCATAGTGAAAGATCTGAAATATAGAATATATATCCCATTGGTATACAGAATCGCCAATTACAAAAATATGACAGAAACATTACATTGAACGTAATGAAATAGAGTCATAACTATTAAGTATCATTTACTTATTCAAACAGCAGTTAAAAGTTTTAATATTTCATTTCAGCACAAAGAGAAGTAAGCAGTCACTTGTTAAGTTTTGTTCACATCATCTCAAATTCTAAAGATAGATTTATTTTTAAAGAAATAATTACACCATACAGGCTATAATTTACTATCTAAATTGTATTATCTTTAATTAACTTCACCAATTTATTCGCCTATCCCATAGAATCACCTGAGAGTCATAAGTGTTTTATATTATATTCATATATATATATATTGAAGACATTTTCCACACCATCAGTGAATATCCCCTCACCTTCGGGATATAATGATGTTCCTCTCCCAACTTCACAATCTCCAGGTCAAATAAAAGCTCTGCAATGACCATGAGGCAATCCAACACAACTAGCACAATGATGAAAACCTGCGGGAGAATGCACAGTGTGAATAAAGAGAAACAAATCCACACAATAACAGTCACTTGGTGCACGGAAAAAGCAAGACAAATACAGAAACAAAAAAGAGATAGAAAAAAGTAGGACCTACAAGTCGCACCCTACAATCATCTGCAGTGATACAGAGGAGACAGCTGAGTAATACTCATTGCTGGTGCTGCATAAAGGTGTAATCTGAAACAGAGGAATATTATGTTGTTTGCAATAGACGGGCTTCCTTGAATTTTTATTTATTTTTGGAGGAGAAAAGCAATAGACTAATTTTTTTTTAAAGTACCAATAAATCATGAATTTTTTACAAAATCCCCATTAACTTTAATCACAGTGACAAGAGCCAGACTCGACACATCCAGCATATTTTGACCTAAAGAAAGAAAGAGATGAAGATGTGATCCAAATACTTAGCACTTCTCACCAGCAAAAACAAATAGTCGTTTCATCCAACATTAGCTACTTTTTTGCTTTTCAGAGACATAAATATTTTAGAGGAAACTCGGAACAAATAATCATACTCACACATACACACGCACACACACCACACACACACAACAATGTACAACCATGCCATGCTACTGCTGGTCACCACTAGTGCTGTGCCATTTTGAGGAAACAAAAATTCATTGAAGCTTCAAAGCGTGAGCTCACTATTCATGACATTCGAATAACTCCGTCGAATGTTGTTTTTCTTATATATCGCGACCCCTGTGCTTTCTTGTCATATCTCCATTTTTAATAACAGTGAAAACAGTTCATAACAAAGAGTGAGCTAAAGAAGATGTCACATTTTCACTGTTAAAAAAATGGAGATACGACAAGAAAATACTGAGGTCGCGATATGATAAGCATAAACCGAGACCTAAGTCCCTCTATTCTACATTCGCTAGCTATTCACAGCGCCGTCGAATGGTTTTTCCTTGCAGGTGATAAGCCAAGACCTAACTTCCGCAATTCGAAGCGCCGTCAAATCGTATTTTCTTATATGTAACAAGCCCAGATCTAACTTCCGGTATTAACAGCACCATTGAATCATTTTTTCTCATATAAGATAAGCCCAGATCTAACTTATGCAATTCGAAGGGCTGTCAAATCGTATTTTCTTATATGTGACAGGCCCAGATCTAACTTCCAGTATTCACAGCACCGTCGAATAGTTTTTACTTATATAAGATAAGCCCAGATCTAACTTCCGCAATTCGAAGCCCTGTCGAATTGTTTTTTTCTTACATTGTGATAGCCCGCCTGTCACTGAGCGCGCGTGTGTTGTAGCAGACAGTGCAACGTGTTGACATCACGTCACCGTTCATATCGCTTCGAATTTCGAGTAGGGTTAGGGGAGCTCATTGCGACAGCTAACTTCATGAAAAAAACATTCGCTGCGCTTCAAGAGTCATGTGCCCTTGCTTGCTGTCCATAGTGTGGCGAGTGAATATTGAATAGTAAGAGACATTCTCTAAAGGATTGTTTTATAATTATTGTAGGCTCCTCTTATCACTGTGTCTCGTAACCATCAAATATAGAGTAATTCTGTATATTTATCTTAATGATTTTAGAGATAATGTGCTCCAGATTGTTCTACGTTTGAGAAAAATGAGACAAAATCCATTATCTGTTTTTTTATTAAATCACACGCTCTGCCACACTTCGAATAGCTGTGAACAGTGCAAAAATCATGAATGTCGAATAGTAAAGTCGAATGGGCACAGCTCTAGTCACCACTGTGCAGCGCCATATATTTTGAGCTGGAGTTGTCGTGCCTTGCTCAAGGACACACCCCACACCCCAGTGACCACCCATCTAAACCCAGTGTCACCGACACTTGCTTGACATTACTTGAGTCTGAACTCACTGCTCACTTAGCCACTGGAGCCCCCACTGGCATTTTATTGTCACACTACAAAACTAGCACACACATCAACTTAGATGTATGAGCCATATCTGGACAATGAATAAACTTCTGATAATTTCATTTTATTTTAGTACCCAACACCAAGAACGCACTGAGGAGAATAAAATCAAAATGTAAGTGTTCCGCGCAATTTACAGTTCGACACGTAAGATTGCGCAATCTGCGCCGCACATTTTAACGATCATATTATAATAGCGCGGCAATCTTAAGATTCCACCGCGCGTTTTAACGATTGTATAATTATATCTTTCTTCAGTTTCATATTTTAATTTTAATATTAATTTCAATTTTCATATTTTTACACTTTTGAAAATATAAGTGAATGTTCCTTGATGTTAGTAGAATAAAAATCGAAGTGAATTTTTTTCTAAATTATTTTTAAAATTATAATTAAATGTACTTTGTGAACTTTGAGTTTGACACCTGTCATTGTAACATTCTTATGGGCTCTTCAGTTTTATACGTTAATTTTGATTTTAAATTTCATATTTCTACACTTTTGAAAGGTCTATATGTGAATGTTCCTTGATGTGAGTAAAATAATAAAGATGGAAGTATTTTTTTTTTTCATATTTCCAAAATATAAAATCTTCAGATTGCCGTGCAATTATACAATCGCTAAAACGTGCGGCGCAATCTTCCTTCCTTAGAGATTGCATCAACACCCCCCCCCACCTGGGACGGTGCTTCTGACTGAAGTGTCTTTAGCCCATTCCCAAAGGGGGGAAACATTAACATCTCGAGTTCTCATTCACAGTAGAATTGTAATTGTAAATGGACTGATTCATCAATATCATGCTCATAACTGTGCCTGAACTGCAACATGGAACTGCTGCTTTTTCTTTCCTAATCCTTACTCTCGTCAGTTTCCTTTATTTCTTTATATATGTTTGTCACACTTTTGTGACCCGCTATATCCGGGGTGCCTTGATAGTTGAAGCAGACTTAAATTGTGCTGTTGAAGCTAGAGAGGTGATCAGAGTAAGTCTGATTCCCTGTAAGGACTTCTCTGTTGACGCGCTCATATGACCATATGCAGTTGCGAGCGCCATAAAGCCTCTACTAAAACAAAACAAAGATTGCACCAATCGGTAAATTACGCGGAACAAATGCAAAATTATAGAGCATTCTGAACTCATATTTGCTGTTTTCATTCTATGCATCTAAATTTGCTGGACTTTCAAAATAATGATAAATAAAAATATACACATAAAACATTATTTAAAAATCCATTTAAAAACTCAGAAAAATTAGCCATTGTGATTGTTTTTCCTACTCCACATTTGAACAGGATTACTTTTTGGCAGTTCCTAGGCATAGCTAAAAAAACATATGGGTTGTCAAGTTTTCTCAGGCATCCACACAGTTGGAAAAAAAATGTAACGCCAAGTTTTAAAAATAATCAACTTAAAATGCTAGAAATACCATGAATTTCTGAGAGTGTATGACATCATCCAAGGTTTCTCGCAGGGTTTTGGGTCCACGAGCGATGGTCTCATCGGAGTCACTTGTCACAGTGCTGGTATCATCTCGCTCGATGACCTTCACCAAGTCATCTTGCATCTTCCTCAAACCATCCAGCTTCATCTGATAGAGAAAAATGTCACGTGTCAGTGCATGTTCTCCACACAGCTGAGTACATCAAATACAGAAAAATGTCACGTGTCAGTGCATGTTCTCCACACAGCTGAGTACATAAAATACAAAAAAACTCACAAAGTATTGCATGATCCCAGGTGCAAGAGCAGCCCTGCTAGCACAGAGCCAAGCAGGTGGGGAACTATGAAAACTCTTCAAGGATGTTCCAAGGGGGCATTCAAACCGCAGACGGGATATTTATCCAAACTGCAGCCCAACGCGATACCAACTGAACATTAAGCCATAAAGAGCTCCATATTATAATTATATCATGAAAAAATATCAAAAACAGTAGTGACAACTTGAAACTATTCATTTTCATTTAGATCTATGCCCCATCATAAGAGGAGCTGTACAAAGAGTAATGTTTAAAGACCACAACACTCCACAGTATTGTGACTCCACATCTCGGGCTACTGCATAACATCATTCCCAAAAAGACTTTTTTTTCAAAAAATCATTTCTAAACTTACAAAAATATTTTCACCATATGTTTACCAGTAACATTACCAGTTTTCTTTTATAGTTTCTGTATAGTATGTAAAAGCTCAAAGTCAAAATCAAATGGGTTCTTGACAGTGACTCAATTGACAATTTACATTCAAACTCAAGTCTTCAGCAAATAATGTTGCGTTACATCTCTGCATATTTTCTTTTAAAAATAATACATTTTTTACTGTGACTCACAACCAACTTTCTCTTATCTCAAACATTAACATAGTGATTGTGCTATCTAAAATCTGTTGTATAAGGACATATCAGCGGTTCTGAATTTTGCCATTTGCCTATTTTTAGAGTTCTGGCTTTCTTAGGCTCTGGCCACACTGCTAGCAGAGCGGACACAGCAGAGCGGACACAGCAGAGCGGACACAGCAGAGCAGAGCTGTTTGAGGCATTAACATTGTAGCCTCTGTGAGGCTACAAATGATATATTCTGGATGCTTAAAACTAAAACAGAGCACAAGAAATTCTGGTGCTTTAGATTGTTACCTCTATCATCAACATAAGAGTGGAACATTTTACTTTTGGCAACTTATGGACCAAAAAAAGGCAACAAACGTAGATGCCAGAAATAGGAACGTAATAATAATCACAGCATCCTCAGCGTGTTTAAAAGCAAATCAACGATAATATCTAAGTTGTACAATATAGAGAGAGTTTTAAACGCGTAACTAAACACATGTACACACGCATACGCACCCACACAAATATATACACTCATACATACATACAACGTAATATGTTGTACACAACAAACAACCTGTGTCTGTGGTGTGGCGGTAGGCACTTCGTTGTCTCACGTAGAAGACCCATGTTCGATTCCAGAGTAAGCAACAATTTTTATCAAGTATTTCCTTTTTTTCTGCTTAGACATTGTATCACTCTCAGTCAGGGTTGTGTGTGTGTGTGTGTGTGTGTGTGTGTGTGTGTGTGTGTGTGTGTGTGTGTGTGTGTGTGTGTGTGTGTGTGTGTGTGTTTGAAAGAGAGAGAGAGAGAGAAAGAGAGAGGGGGAGGGAGGGAGGGAGGGGAGGAGGGAGGGAGGGGAGGAGGGAGAGAGAGAGAGAGAGAGAGAGAGATGGAAAGGATTGGAGAAGGGAATGTTGGGGCTAACGATGGAGTAGGCAGGTATAAATTGTGTTGTTAGATAATTGAGAAGAGATCATGTAATGCCTTGTGTGGAATAAGAGTTTAGAGTACAAATTAAATTCATAGAGTAGCGACAATCCTAGTTACACAACACCAGCGTGCTAAAGTAGTCCAGTTAAACGAATGTTGTTTTATTATTAATGCTCACAGGCGTATATACTGAACACCAAAAGAAACGCAAGTAAGCAACAAAAGAAACACAAATGGATTTCTGGTGTACAAAAAGGTTATTTTCATTGAAATTTTTAACAGTAGTGTGATTTTTTTAAGATGTTTTACTTTCGAAAATGTGATTTTCATTGAGCATGGACAAACATCTTCGACTGGTATTTTTTAACGACTCATTAATGTCACAGTAATCTTAAATACAGGGATGCACAACACACATAGTCCATTTGGCACAGTTCAAGCGTTGTCGTGCTGGAACACCAAGTGGTGGTGCTGCTGGACATAGGGGAGGACCGCCGGCCTCAGTACCATGTTGATGTAACGTTGGGCGTTGATTCCATTGCCACGCTTGTGTCCGAGGTTTCGGAAGACGACAGGGTCTACCTGGTGATTTAATCCAATGGCAGCCCAGATCATGTCACAAGGGCCACCCCAGACGTCGGCATCCATTATGTTGAGGTCTGCGTTGCATTCGCCATTACTCCTCCAGATTCTGACTCTTGTATCCGCGTTGCTGATGCAGAATCGACTCTCGTCAGAGAAAACAATGTTTCTCCATTGCCTCCATGTCCAATGAAGCCGATGCTGGGCACAGGCTAACTTCTGTTGTCTGTGGCGGATAGTGACGACTGGGCCAAGCGCAGGACGACAACACTGGAGTCCTCGGGTCTGAAGTCGTCGCCGCATGGTCTGGCCGGATATCGATCGTCCATGGCTTCCAATTGTCCCCCTTGCTGTTTCGGCTGCAGGCAGGAAGCTGTCTCGGTGATGACGGCGCGTAATCAGTCGATCTTGGCGTGCGGATGGGACCCGTGGTCTTTCGCTTCTGGCCAAGTCTTGGGTAATGCCAGTTGTTTGAAAACGTGTCCACAACCTACAAACTGTTGAAAGGGACACATGAAATGCAACAGCGACGTCAGTACGGCTGTCCCCAGTTTGTAAATGCCCAATGGCTCCCTCTCGATCTGCAGCGCTCAGTCGTGGCATCGTCTTGGAGGTCAACTGCTTCACTGGCCAAAGCGTAGCGGTGTGTCTTTTTATACCCTGATATGCCATGAACATTAATCAAGAAAAAAAATTCCCTCATCTCTGTTTTCATTCACACAGAGCTAAAAGCAAAAACTTTTCTTTGACCGACTTTCGTGAGCTTAAGTTGAGCACTTTTTACTCAGCACTCACAGGCTACACTCAGGAGACCTAAACACCTCAGGAGCGTGTACTAGTATTTATCTGAAAAATGTTTTTCAACACAATTTAGGGTGAAAATCGACCAAATAAAGCGCTCGTAAATAAACTTTAGATCTAATTCGTCTGTGCTTAGTTCACAACCCGACGCTCTGTCAAGTCTCTAAAATAGTTTGCTTTGCTTTTCATCTACCTTTTCTAAGCTGTCACGTACTTTCTTTTTCCTTTCTTGTTATTGTTATATTGTCACTGAACGTCATGTAGAAGGGAGTAAATTTCCGGAGTTTTCAAGCGCCATTAAATCGGGTTTATTTATCTCAGCTCGAAAAGCTTGATACTTTACTCATGTCTGCGCACAGGACACGCCTGAGCACGCACACTAGATATACCTATTCATTGTTCTCTAAAACATTCCCTGTGTGAACACTCATTCATCTCTCTATATTTCTCTCGTCCCTCCCCCTTTCTCTCTCTCTCTCTCTCTTTCTTTCTTTCTTCATCATCAATGCCTTTCACCCCTGGCAGGGTATAGGCCACATACAAGCTCCTTCCATTTATCTCTGTCCTGAGCCATCCTTCCAAGCTCGTTCCAAGTGAGCTACATTTCTCTCATGTCCCTTTCCACGCATCTCCTCCATGTTTCCCATGGCCTACCCCTGCCTCGTGCTCCTTGTGGGTCCACTGCAGTGACTGTCTTGTGATGTTTCCGCTAAGCTTTCTTAAGGTGTGTCCCATCCATCGCCACTTTCTTGTCCTATTTCTACTTCTTTCTTACTTCCTTTCTATCTGTCTTTCCTTCTCTCTCCCTTTCTTTTTCTTTTTCTTTCTCTTTTTTCGTTCTCTGCCTCCCACTCGTTCAGCCCGGGTTGTCCCTGCCAAATAGCATACCTGCCAACATTGCATGGGCCAAAATCTGTAGTTGACCCAAATTTTTGTCGAAAAATCTATAGTTGACCTAAAAAATCTGTAGTAAGCTATATTGCCACTTGTCGCATACTTAATTTGGGACCCTTATCAAATTTTGACCCAGATCAAAATATGCATGAATGTGTTTGAGACTTCAAACAAATGTAGAAAATGACGAAGAACAAAAAAATATGATAAATATATGAAAACTACTAGAGGCATTTACCCTATAGTAGCTGGTGCTGTCCTGTCCTATTCATACGTGCACGCACACACAAATGGGAAAAAAAAAAAAAAAAGATATAGAAAAGGTGGGCCTTGGATGGCTTAGGCCTATAGCCTTGGCCCTTTGCCGTTGCAGAGTTTACAAGGAAAGAGTACGACGGATCCCGAGTCCACACAAGGCCTGCATCAACACGCGTTTTGCTGAGTTCTAGATCTAGTAGTAATTAAAATTTAGAATACTAAAATTTGCTTCCAAGTTCAGTTTCCCTCCCCCCCCCCTGGTGTTGCCTTCAACAACCCCCCCCCCCCCCCCCCCCCCGTGTATCTTTAAAAAATCAATAATCCCCCATTCCGGAGTCCTATACTTCGCAGCGCTCAGACTTTGAATGAACTTTGGTGACCCCTACAATTGCCGGTGCTCACAATGTGATGGAACGCGTAGATTCATTGACCGGTCACAATGGCGAGCCCGCAAAGACGGTTGTATAACTATAATTTTCTTTTCACAAGTGACAGCACAGGACAAATATTGATTTATTTTCATGGCGACACAGCGTTTGCCATGCACAGCCTGCATTTTGTTACAATTAATGTTGCGTTATCAAACTACTACTCGCAAATTTCTGGGTGGTAACGAAAGTGAAAGTATATCTTGATTATCCCGATCAAACGTCGGTATCACACATACTGTCATACACTTCCGCTAGCCATCATAGCCGCCTGTCCGCATGAAGAAATATATACTCTCGGGGAAGCCGAATGAATATCACAATCGCGACCGGCAAAAATGAACTTAAGGGCGTTTATCGGATGGGAGTGTATACAGACCCGGTAACCGGGAACAAAGTCACAAAGTATACAGACCCGGTAAAGGAACTCTTATGTGATTTCGGAGAGTTTCAGCGCCCTCTTGGCTCAGGGTAGACCTAGGTTCTTCTAGATCTATGGTCTAGATGTAGATCTAGACAGACAGACTTAAATCTTTGATCTAGTTTCGCGGCTAGCCTAGATCTAAATGAAGATTGCGGATGTCTTTTCGATGAACGATCGTTTTTCCTCCGTTTTGGAGTTGGATGGAGGAATCACAATTTGAAGAAAAGAACAAGTTACAATGTCATAATTTCAATCGAGCAGTCCTCTCTCTCTCTCTTTCTTTCTCTCTCCTCTGTGTATCGCTCGCCTTCTCTTTTTCTTTGTTTGTTTCTGTCTTTCTTTGTCCCCACCTATTTCCCACTCTATCTTTCTCTCATTGCCTCCTGCCAACTGGGGCATGTCATATACATTTTGCTAGCAACCCCCCCCCCCCCTCTCTCTCTCTCTCTCTCCCTCTCTCACACACACACACACACACACACACACACACACACACACACACACACACACACACATACACACACACACACACACACACACACACGATTTCTACCGGGTCTGGGGGCTGAAACTTCCCGAAATCACAAAAGAGTTCCCCTACCGGGTCTGTATACTTCGTGACTTTGTTCCCGGTTACCAGGTCTGTATACACTTCGTTATCGGATTTGGTTTTCAAATATTCAATAACTTTCTCAAATTCCTGGGTAATTTACGGGGCCTGGCAGTCATCCTGCTAAGTCGGTGGCTTATCTCTCAAAATCGGTGGATCGGTAGTTTGACCAATAAGTCGGTGATCTACCGATTTTTTCTGTAGGGTTGGAAGGTATGAAATAGAGTCGGAAGCCCGCCTCCTGAATAATCTTTTTTTTTTTTTACTTTTTCTTCTTTTTTTTTTCCTTCTCTCTCTCTCTCCTTCTCCCCCCCCCCCCCCCCCCCCTCTCTCTCCTTCTCTCCCCCATGATCTCTCTCTCTCTCTCTCTCCCCCTCTCTCTTCGATATTTGTCTACTTCTTTTATTGACACATAACAACACAATAATGAGAGTGCAGATGTGAGTAAATTTCAAGCTAAGCCAGCGGCAATAAATAAACCGCCATCTTTGCGCTTGACTCGCCTCGAGTCGCACCACCAGTCACCTAGTCTCTGTCTTTGTATTAATTTTCACTCCTGCGCTCTGCTGTGCCCGCTCTGCTTGCAGAGTGGCCAGAGAGCCTTATTCGGCAAAGTGCTAGAGTAGGCTCAACCACTTTTGATTGCCTGCATACTCTGATAGTCATGCTCTAGGAGTAGGAGTCGGTGAATCTACCATGTGTCATGTATGTGTACCAATGAAAGGAAAGGGGGAGGGGGGGAAAGAGGGTGGCAGTGGCAGGAAGGGAGTCCCACGGTCACTTGAGAGGACATGGTGCAAACCAATGAAAGGAAAGGGGGGGGGGGGGGGGGTAGTAGCTTTCATCTAGGGGGCAGCAAGTCTGGGATTCAAAGATTTAAGAGTTAGGTCAGAGACACGTCATGGGTTTAAAAGAAACAAAAGTAAATTCAGATCTGAGGATTAAGAGTAAGGGAGCGGAGAAAAGGGAGTAGATTTCTAGTAGAAGAAGTAAGTAAGCAAATAAATTGTGAACAACTGTCTGTGACTCGGGTAGGAGTGGGTGAATGTAATGGGGCACTTTTCCTGTGCTGTACAAAGCTTTTTTCACAGTAGACTTCGACTAGCTTAGAACTAGATCTAGATAGACTCTGGTAATGAACATCATTTTAAGTTTTAGTTCACTATCTGCACAGTATGCCACGCCCCCTGTTTTCTTCGGGCCTCAACATTTGGCTGTTGCGGATGCCTTTGCCTAACAACATGCTGTTACATTGGATAGGAGACATTGGACTTTATTCCAATTCAGATAGAAAGGGAGTTTGTGATGCAAGAAAACCAAGTTGGTAAACTTATGCAAATCTACCTTGAATGTTTATGGTTGCAATGCTGTTGAAATCGAATTTATGCGTGCCTTTAATTGTCCATCGTCGTGATAAGAGAACGTCGATTTGTTTTTGTTACGAAATTTTTACTCTTCTCTGTTTGTACCATGTGACTTCTGACATTTTCTAAAAAAGTATGACTCTTGTTTTTCGTTTCTAGATGTTTGAAAGAATATTAATTGCATAAATTTAGTGTTTTCTCTTACTTTCTTTTCAAATCTTTAGCATTTATAAAGATTAAAAAAGGGTAGATTGTCTTCCATGCTTTTACATAATACAACTTTCATCGCTTTATAGACTTCAATAAAACCTGTGGATCATTTAATTTTAATATAGATCTAGATCTTTGTTTTTAATTACTCCCGCGCCATTCGCTTGAAGAGTTTCGTTTCCTTCGTTTGTACTTTCGCTTTCCTTATCGTTCCTGGCGTATCAATGGCTGTTGCAACACATAAAGTACAGTAAAGTAGTGGTAGCGTGGAGTAGCTTACATCCAGTTCTTTTTCGGAGGTAGGTCCTTTTCTCTATTATGCCTGATCACCTAAATCCTATACCAAATGGCAATGGATAACGGATCTAGATTATCTAGGTCTAGATCTAGATCTAGAATCTGAATACGAACGTTTTTTACACTTTTTTACTCTTTACTGGCACTGCTCTCTTTTAACTTGGCTAGATCTATATACTTCTAGATCTAGACTAGATTCCAGATATCTTGATCTAGATTTAGATTCTAGATCTAGATATTAGATCTAGAATCTAAAAAGATAGAATCCAGATCTAGAATCTAGATAATCTAGATATCTAGTACTACGTATAGATCTAGTATAGAATAAGTATAAGTTATAAGTGTTCTTTTGATTATTTTAGAGATGCAATTTTCAGTTCAGTATTCAGTGGCAGTGTGAGTGGAGTCGGCATAAATCAAACACTTTTAAACTGAAAACAGCAATAAAAGCGCAACCGCTAGGAAAGAAAAGAAAATCCCCAATTCATTTTTTGTCTCTATTTGAGCAGCTTCTCTTGCAACCAGGCAACACTAGGCTAAAAGATCCGGCAGTCCCTACAGATTTCTGTTAAACTTAAACTTAAAGCAAAATCTGTGGGACCACCAGATTTTCTTAAACTTAAACACTAAAGTAACTCCACTGTTTTATTGTGTCGAAGTTTAGTTAAGTTTTCAAGCGTTAACTAACGTACACTTTGGCATAATTTCTTAACTTTTTTAGGAAGAGGCTAGCCGTACTTACAGTCTAGCCGTACTTATTCTTAATATA